TTTTGGCTTGTCTCTGGGGCGTCAATTGCTGCTGGTTGAGGCTTCTATTGGATGGAATCAACTCCGCAGCCGGGTTGGCCATGGTGGCCAAAATCAAAAGCCATATAATGGCTCATATGGCTTTGCGCAAACTCTCTATTAGATAGATAGTGTGATGTAGAGAAAATGAAAAAGAAGATGTAAAGAAGGGAGCAGAGAGACAGAGCAGAGGGGGGGAGTGGGGCGCATGTGCAGATCTCATTCAAAGCAACTTATTGCTTCTATGAATGCACCAAACACTTTGAGGAGCTTGGGGCTAGACAGGAGTGGTCCAACATGGAGAGGGCTGCAATGGGCGGTCCTACTGGCAGCATGGGGCAGCTGGTGAAAAGGTTCCCAGACCAGGCACTCCATAATGAAATGGGCCTGTGTCTCCTTAGCTGTGCTGCATGCTTTGCACACAGAGGAATTGGTGAACTCAGCCTTGTGTCAGTGTACATTAAGGAAGGAGGAGCTAGTGTGGAGTTGCGAGATGGCGGAGGAAGTCTTGTGAGATAGTGTTGGGGACTTGTGGAGGGAGATGGGGTTGAAGCTGGGTCAGGATGTCAATGGCTCAAAGGGGGCCTCCTGTGTCAGAGGATCTCCAGCAAGCGGTTAAGCATCTGGAGGTATATGTACTACTGAACAGTCTAACTGCTTCATCTGCCTGTTTGTTGCCCACTGTACCTTTATGAACTGGCATCCAGTGGTTTGTGATGGCTAGGTTAGGTGATCAATGTCAGGCCCTGCAGATGGGCCGTTGCTTATGACTGCATGCACCTGCCCCGAACATGGTTTGGTCAAGGTTATACCATATAGCACCACCTGTGATTCAGCCATGCACAGGATGCTGATGTGGTCATCCTGGAGCACCTTCACCATCACCCTGACTAGTTCCTCCATCTTGTCTTCACACACCTGCCCATCTGCCAATGGGATTATTAGCCTCTCCCTCTCTATTCCCACCTCAATCTACAGAGGCAAGCTTCGGGTTGTTGGGTGATATGGAGAGAGCCTGATGGAGCAGTAGATAGACGATGTGGGAGGAGGAGAAGGAATTGGAATAGTCACATTGAGGGTGCACACAGCAGAGGCAACGTGAAACTTGTGGCAGTCTAAGGGTGAAATACTATTTTATCTGAATCCAATGGGTTGAATGCAATAAGAAGGTGCACTCTAGTTCAGGATTCATAAATCTGGAAACCAACCCAAATCCTTAACACAACAATTAACCAAACTCCATAAGTGATTCCAGTTGCAATCCCAGAGAGTGTGACCAAGTATGGGTCTTTGTGCACTGATAGAAGATACACGGAAACAGTTGTTTTATATTTTGCTAGTCACAACAAGCTAATTCAGAGATCGTCTGCAGACAATATTCAATTTATAGTTTTACAATTCTGGGTCACGCACTCTAACCTCATAAGACAGGAGCAGTGAACCAATTTGACACACAACAAGCAACAAATAAAACACATAGAACACATACGTACATACACACACACGTGTAGGGTCAAGTATCCACTTGCTAGAGAGACCTTCAGTCTTCTCCGCTTTCTGCATCCAGGTAGGATTCTGTGTCTTCTCTCTACAAGCTGTCCCCCTTATATACTGTAAAACTATTAATAATTTTACAAACTTGATATATTGGCCACCAGTGTATCCATGTCTGTGACTCAGGCATATGAAATTAGACTCCTTACCAGTCTGCTTACAATGAGCAAAAAATGTGGCGAGCACTTTGCTGTAAGCAGACTGGTACATCTCAGACCAAACAAAAGGGCTGGGCCCGGAGTTTCAAATTGAGGCAGTGCTGATTTTGGCATCACTTGGCTTTTCCGCTACCCTCACTTGCCGCGCTCTATTTCTTTTCCGGCTACTCTGTTTCACTTCAAAGCTTGCAGACACCACCTTCGACATTACCGGTGCATATTTGACCGCTTAAACACCTCAACTGACCGGTCTTTAGCCCTGGGAAAGCCAGTACCATCTGCTGGAGGTTGGTAATTATCGTGCAGGATTCTGGAGCTTCAATTGGGACAGATTTTGGCCATGGTGAGTACCAATCGTGTTTCCAATTGGTCTTGTACCATTTTGGTGGTCTGGATGCCATACACAAGTCACCTGGATGTGACGCACTCACCTTACCTTCTATGTATCTCTATTCCTCTGCTTCTTTTTGCTATAACAATCGCACACAGCATCTGCGACATCACCGGCACATATCCGACGACTCAGCAGCCCCGAAATAAGCCTGAAATACCGCTATCATGAAGGAGCAGCCATGCATGATGATAACACTGATGCTGGCGCCATCTCAAGCACCATGAAGCTCCATCGGATCCTTCGGAATCTCACTCATCAGACACCTTGAGCAGCCAGGGAGAATATCATGCAGAATCCCACGCTTATCATAAATCTTGTTGCTATATTGACACCAGCTACGACACCATAACGACTCGGAGTCAGGAGCTAGGGAGATTTTGAGTGCGACCGCCGCTTCCATTGCCAGCTTAGTCCCCATATGTGTTGTACTAGCTCCACCGCTGCTACCACTTGTTCTCCCACAGCTGCGCACGTCGATGAGACCCTGTGTTTCCGTTCGCAGCAGACTGTATGACCACCCACCACCAAGTCGCAGTTGCGCTGACCTCATCTGCACCAAACCACAGACACAACAGCTCTGCCTCCGCTCTGCTCATGGATACCACGCTGTTTCCTACGGCGAGACATACTGAGGTACGTCCTATGCTTCTCAATGCGAAGAAGCGTTGTTGATGAGGGCCACAATGCTACTGCGACCACAAGGCATGCATGCACAGCATGCGCCTGCGTGCAGTAACTTTGTGAAGAGTGGAATCCACACACCATAATGTTCTTGTGGGAGTCAGGTTGGTATTTATGATGACAATGTATTGACTGGAGATACTGCATGAGAGAGTGTAGAAATTATTCGTTATTTCTGGAAAATATATTCACCTGCCATAAATCTTTGTCTTCTGGTGTGAAGTAATTATTCACAATGGATTGAATGCCGTACTTTGCAAATTCTGCGACGTGCCAATGCGGTCAGAAGAATCAGTTGTCCACAGGGATAGCTCTTGCGTGATTATTAGCTGAGCCTCAGAGGAGAAACAGCGATGGCGGCCGACGTCTTTGGAAGTGACAACACAGGAAGAATCATTGCCAGAGTTTTTCTAGATCCCGTACCCATCGGACACCAGATACTTGCTGGCCATGATTGCAAGACTGGCACTAGCTTGTAAGAGTTTTGGTGTCCTTCAATGCAATCTCGAGGTGCAAGAAAGCTACGAGGAAAATGCAACCCGGTGGTAAGGGTAGTATGCAGGGCAGATTGTGACATCGGCAAGGGAATAAAATCGTCACAAGAGTCCAGGTGACTTGTATAGCGATTGAAGGTGTGAGTGTGGCATCCAGACAACAAATACTGGACAGGAACAATGAGAAAGACAATTGATACTCACCGGGAACAAATTCTGTCTTAATTAAAGCTCTAAAATCCCACCTAATAATTATCCACCTTCCGCGCACCATACTCGCTTTCTCGGGGTCAAAGAAAGATGAATTTGGGCCGTTGAGGTGTCGAATACGTGTCGATGATATCAAAAGTGGTGTGTGCAAGATTTAAACGAGGCAGAGGGAAGTGAATAAGCGAAACTCCGGGCCCAGCCCTTTTGTTTGGCCCGAGATGTACCACTCTGCTTACAGCAAAGTGCTTGCCACATTTTTTGCTCATTGTAAGCAGACTGGTAACAAGTCTAATATGAAATGTGATCACCAAGCCTTGCTGACTGATTGATTATGGTTGAATAAGATAGCCCTTCAGAGCCTCTTTATAACCCCTCATCTGTCAATTGATTTTTTTCTCATGTGAGTGCAACATTGGTTCACATTTGACAATGGCCCAAGTTAGGTATTGTGTGCAATCACAAGTTGATTGTGATGCAGAATGTTAGTTGATTGATGGATGGATCAGTCAATTGATGATGGTCCTTCTTCAGTTTGCATTGAAACTGGATGGACTTTGTGGTGTATGGTACACCGCCTTTTGCTGTTCGCAATTTAGAGGCAGCCGAGGTTTGACTCCCTGTGTCTGAATCACCCTCTCAAAGAGAGTTTTTTGTTCGGAGAAGAAAATACATCAAAAGGTCATCATCCATCATTCCAAGTACTGCCTAGAGTACATACTTACTAGAATTACATGCAGGGTTGATTTGCTTTTTGAGTCTTTACATACTGTTGAGGAATTGGATGCGCATAAAATGAATGTCAGATGGTGAGATTGTCTAATGATTTGTGGCCAAGGTGAATGCATTTGAGGAGGAGCAGCCCTATAGAAAGTAAATCAGATATGACACTGCCTCTGCAACTGACATGGGCGGATACTGTTTAGAGGCTGCCCGGGGTTCAACTCCCTGTGTCCGAATCACCTTCTCAGGGACCTTTTTTGTTCGGAGAAGAAAATACATCGAAAGGTCATTGTCCATCATTTCAAGTGCTGCCGAGAGTACCTACAAATTACATGCAGGGCTGATTTGATTTTCGAGTCTTTACATACTGTTGAGGAATTGGACTCCAGTCAACTGAAATGTCTAATGATTTTGGCTGGGCTGTATGCATTTGAGGAGCGGCAACATTGTAGAAAGTTAATCGGATATGGTGTATAGTTCACTGCCTCTGAAATGTGTGAGTGCATCTTGCTAGAGCTTAGAGGCACTCCAGGGTTCGACTCCCTGTGTCCGGATTATCTTGCGTGAAACCCTTTTTCTTTGGGTCGGGGGCCGAATTGGTTCAATTCGACAGTGCGAGTTGAGGTGAGTTTGGGGGTTTGCATTTGCATTGCGGTGCAGAATGTCAGTTAGTTAATGTATGGATCGGTGAATCGACAATGGATTTTATCCTGGGATGCACCCTCCCGTTTGCAATGAAACTGGATGGACTTTGGGATGAGGTACTGTGTCTCGGACATGGTGTACGGTACACCGCCTCTTGCCATGCATAGGTGTTTGAGAGGGATGTTCAGAGCCAGTCCGGGGTTTGACTCCCCGTGTCCGAACTTCGTGATGTCCTTCCATGGGTTTTTTTTTTTTGAGTCTTCATTTTGGTCGGGAAAGCACATCAAATCCAGTATCAGCTGCCTAGTAGAGTATATGCAGGATGTATTATCTTCAAGTTATTACCTTTGTGGAATTGGGTGTGAATCATTCGATTGAAACGAAAGCAAGGTCGGTGCTGGTAAACAATGATTTCTGGTTGAGGCGAATGTGTTTGAGGAGCAGCAGCATTATAGAAAGTAAATCGGATATGGTGTATGGTACACGGCCTTTGCAAGTTAAAAATCTTTCTCTGATTTAGAGGCAGTCCGGGGTTCGAATCCCCGTGTCCGAATGTCGTGGTTGGATTGGTTTTTTTTTTTTTTGGGGGGGGCGGGGGCGCGCGAGGGGAATGGCACTTGGTTCAATTCGACACTGGATAGTGCGAGTTGAATTGAGTTTGGGGGTAGGAACTTTATGGGTCAGTGGATGAATGAAGGGATTGACGACGGTCCGGGGATGTATCATGATGAACCTGAATGCATATACATATAGTACAAGGTATCTCGGACATGGTGTACGGTACACCGCCTCTTCTGTTCTGCCTGGCCCTCAAAAATCGGAGGTAGTCCGGGGTTTGACTCCCCGTGTCCGAATATGTTGTTCCAGGCAGCTCTTTTTGGTGGAAGGGCGAATTAATGAATAGATTGAGAGTGGGCGACGAAGCCGTCTTATTATGATGCGAATAATAAATTATTGAAGTGTTTAATGTGCTCAGCTGCGAGCGACGTCGGGCTCGGATGTTGGTCGGCGAAATTCGGCTTTAATTGTCGTTGTGCGACTTGGGATTAGATTTGCATTATTTGACAAAATAAATTCGGGATTAGACGTCTAGTCGGACACTCGAGCCCGACACAGCCAACGGATTGTAATGGGCGCAAGCTGACGCAGATTTTCGAGTGGGCAGTGAGCATTGATCGGTCCGGGCGCGGCGGTAGGTTTTTGAGTTCTCGTTTTAGTGCTGCGGCGAGACGAGGCCTAGGGGGTGAGAGGCGGACGTTTGCGCACGCGGCCGGCCTGTGATATCGACAACGCTTGAGGAGCTCCTATCTTTTCGAAGCAGGAGATATATCAGAGATCGTCAACGGAGCCAGGCACGAGATGGAGAGATCGCGAGTTTCATTCGGTTGGCTGAGCCTACGGACGGGCGTAAGAGCACGGAGAACGACACTAATTGCAGGTAATTGCGACCAAGAACAGCGCCGCAAAGGTCCCGCCAGTCGAAATGCGAAATTGCGAGATGTCGAGATCATAGAACAGATTGAGCGCATGATATCAGATCCAGTGCGGCGAAACGGCGGGCCTCCGTCTTGCCTTCTATTACTTAGCCTCCGCTATTGAGCATTCGAGTCGTCTTCTCCAGCACCTCCGCGTACGTTTCTTCGCCTTGGCGCCTTGAGGTAAAATCCGCGAAGGCCCAGACCCTGCCGGCAAGACGCGAGGCACCCACGTGACACCAAGTTGGTGGTCCCGATTAGGCAAGTGGCCAATCCTCCTTTCTCTCATCCGCCTTTCCTCCCTCCTCCCTCCTCCTTCCTCCGCATTCCGCATTCTGACTTATTCTTATATCCGCGCACCCCATCTATCTTCAATCCGCTACACGACAATACAACGACAATCTCTATTTCCTTCCTTTGGGACACATACGAAAATCAATACGAAATACAGCCTATCTATCTTTGGGGAGAGCGACACGATACACACGCACTTGCCTTGCTTGCTACATCTGCTTCGCCTGCTTGCTGCATACTCCCTTGAAGGACAGCTACAATGGCTTTACCAACGCAGCAAACCCAAGAGCTCCCGCCCTGGTTCTCCGCCACGACGGTCACTCTACCGCAGACGACCGAGACGAGCCTCGTATTCCTCCCGCTCACATACTACGGGCCCAGCATCCCCCTCGACGGCGACTTTACGTATGGCGGCCTGAGCAGTCCTGCGTCGTCGAGCGCTGCGGCGAGCACTTCCGCGCCACCCTCTTCCTCTGCGACACCCACGCCCTCATCTACCTCTGGATCCTCATCCTCCCTACCTACCGCCTCTTCATCCACTGCTGGCTCTACCTCTGCAGCGGCCTCCGCCACCCCCGCCCTACCCAGCTTCTCTACTTCATCCAGCCTCTCAACGGGCGGCCTCATCGGCGTCATCATCGGCTCCGTCCTCGGCGCCCTCGTCATCTTCCTCCTCTTGATCTGCTGCTGGATGCGCAGACGCTCACGAAGAAGGGACAGTCAAAATCAGGTGTGTGGCTTTTCTCGTTTATATTCATTTTCATTTTTGGGGGGCCTTGTTTCGTGCTGCCTGGGGCGACTGCGCAGTTCCGTGGTTTGGCGGTCGCGCCACTCGCGGAGGCCGGCAGAGGCATCGTCGGCGTCGGCGTCCTACACACCGACGGTGTCGTCCAGGACGCTCGCCCGCCGACGGGATCTGTCCGAATCACAAGGAGCCGAATCGTGTCGTGGTGGACAGACAGACAGACAGACGGACTGCTTGCTGGCGGGCCTGCATGCATGCATCCTGTACCTACTCGCGTTTTCACATGGATGTGAAGCGGTCGTTCGCTGGGGTCGAAGATACCGCGATCGTCGCTCAGGTGGGGTCGAAGCGGCGATGTGCGGGGTTAAGGGGTACGAGTTGACGTCTGGAGGCCGGGGAGGGTCCGTCTCTCCGCATTCGTGCTCTGATCCCCTGGGAATTCTGCTTTGGAGATTGTCGAGGTCGAGACAAACGGAGCGGGAACGGGAACAGGAGACGGTCCTAGCGTCGAGAAATGTCATGTGGGTGTGCCGGGGGGTGGTGCATGTGTACCGCTCGTCCGTGTTTTTGCTGGGCGTGTCTTGTCTGCTCTGCCTGCCCTCTATATCGCGAGGGTGTGTGCGATGCGCGCGCTTCGCGGCGGGGGCTGGGGTTCAGATGGCGTGCAGGCGGCGTGCTCTGGGGCATCGGAGCGTGCATGTGGACGAGACGCGGATATGTCGATCGAGAGCGGGAGAAAGGAAGGAGTGCAGAGTCGGGTGCTATCATCGAATCTGCTATCTCCGGCACGGCCTTGCACAGCGTCTGAGTCTGGACAACGACAAGTCGAGATGCGCGATGCGCCTTTTTTATTTTTCATTTTATTGCTTTGGATGGCGAGAGGGGACGCAGACGTCTGGGTTCCGTTTTCAAAGAAATTGGAGGCTTGATTCCTTTCTTCCCAGCTATTTCCTTTTCTTCTATATCCTCCCATCTGTCGTTTTGCGTACTGCTTCCCTCTTTCCTCCAACCTCTTCTTTCCCTTGTCTTCCCTACCTTGATCTTATCCGGCGCATATATTCTTATCCAATGAATACTCACCCTCTTCTCGCAGGCCCCCTCCACCCGCGAAAAATCTAAAACACCATTCACGGCGCTCCTCCCCCGCCGCCGCCGCGCGCGCCCACGCACGCGCTTCACTATGGTCACGCCCACCCCGGCGGACGCCGCCGACGCTGCCGCGCTTGACAACGAGCTGTTTGGCGGGGACGTGGAGGGCGACTGGACGCTTGTGCGTGGGCAGGGCTCGGGAGTGCGATCACCTACCTCCCCTACCTCGCCCACCTCACCTACCTCGCCGGGCTCGCCAACGGAGCCTGGGCTGGGCGCGACGGAGGCGGACCCATTCCTCACGCGCGCGCTGCCGAATCCGCATAGTGCGCAGTCGCACGTGGGAACTGGAACTGGGACTGGGAGCGGCTCGGGCTCTGCCTCGTCGCGCACAACAGGGAGCTCCTCCGCGACGCGGAGCAGCGGGACGAACGTGAGCGGGTACGGCGTGGTGCTCGCGCACCCGTCGCTCGCTATCCCGCCCCATTCTCCTGCGCACAATCCGTTCGGCCCGGCGCACACACCTGCGGCGACGGCGTCGGGCTCGAGTCTGGCTGCGTTCGCGCCTGGCGCGCAGCTGACGGGCGCGACGGCGTATACGTATGCGAATCTGCCGCCGGGGGCGGCGCCGCCTGCTCTGGATGATCATAACGGCGGGAACGGCAACGGAAATGGCGGAAACGCAAACGTCATGGGCCGGCGGATTCTCTCGCCCTCGCAGATGGCGATCCTGGTGGAGGAGCAAGAGCACGCGGCGACGCCGCGCGCGTCGGGGGACACGGACCGGGAGGTGGGCGAGGTGGTCATTGCGCGGCGGGTGAGCGTGTCGCGCGTGGCTGCGCTGGATAAAGGAAAGGGCAAGGCGCGGGAGAGCGACGGCGAGAAGAGACGCTCGTGGATCCCGCGGTTCTCGTGGCTGCTCAACTCTGGGGCGAGCTCGAAGCGGAGTTCGCGGGACGTCGAGGCGGGGGAGGGGGAGAGCGAGGAGCTGTTGTTTGACGCGGCGGGGGCGTATTCGCCGACGCATTCGCCGGCACAGTCGATGTCAATGGCGCAGCCTGGGTCGCCGTTGGGGCCAAGGGCGCCGGTGCCGAGGAAGCTCCCGCCGGTGCCGCCACCGGCCAGTATCGCGAGCGGCAGCGGCAGCGGAGAGCCAATGCGCGAATTCGGCGCGCGCCCGCTGCTGCCCTTCCTCGCTGGCGTTGCTGTCGCTGGATCAAGACCCATCAGCGGGGTGAGCGGCGCGAGCGGGATGAGCTCGGACGGGACGACCGGGAGCGGGAAGAGCGGGGGGACGATGTATACGGATGCGCGGGAGACGTTGAGTACGCGCGGGTCGAGGCCGGGTTCGCGCTTGGGCGGGAGCGGGGTGGGGACGCCTGTGGGTGAGCTGCCGCCGCCGCCGCCGCCGTTACCTGTGCGGAACCCGAATCGAAGCCAGGGACAAGGGCAGGAGGGAGCGGGAGGGAGTGAGCAGGGGGGACAGGGACAGGGACAGGGGCGGGATCCGCTGGACGCGCCGGCGCCGACTGCGCTGGCGGCATTTGCGAGCAGCTCACAGGCGTCGTTGCATCATAGCGCATCGCATCCTTCGCTCCAGCACAACGCCTCCCTCCCG